TAATAATACTAAAATTAATAATCCAAAAACTTCGCATCTTTTATTTTTTTTTTTTCTCAATAAAATATTTGACCGCTCTTTACATATACACATTTTTTATTATGCTGTTAAGATGTGTTAAAACTTGACAATTGGGTTTAATTATTGAATGAAAAAATGATATAAATGTTTTACGTTTAATTTAAATTGTATATGTTGCAAATTTATTTCCAATGATGGAACACATGTAACATGAATTTTTACACATGACTTACTAAGTGAAAAATGATTTTTGAGATCACGCCACTATCATAATAAAAAAAAAAATCAAACATCATACAATGATTATTACATAAAATAATTGAATGAATGAAATTTTCTTCTAATGCCAATCATTTTTATATTAACGTCAAAAAATTTTTTTTTAAAGCTACAATAAAATTTTTTATTTTTTTGCATTGTTATTAATAATTAATTATCAAAATATTAAAATGGGATCTAATTCTCAACTTCCTAATGATAAATTAACTACTGGTAATCATTTTGTAGAATGGAAAGAAAAAAGATTTTCATGTATGTTGTGCAGGTACTTATTATCAAAAACTGAGCAAAGACCTCCATATCTAATTTTTGGTGTACATCATGTAATGTTCCGTTATGTTGTAATAGTAATAGAAATTGGTTCAAAATTTATCATGAAAAGGAAAATATTTATTCAAATAAAGACTAAATTGTATGGATTATCTAAAATAAGAAATGCGAAAAAAAAATTTATGTAAAAATTGCAAAAGCTTGAAAGTCTACTAACAAAAAAATATTCAAAATGATTTTATTGAAACTCCTAGTTTGAAGAATAATAACGCCATAAGTTTTAATAAGGTCACTGTATTCTATAAAAATTTTTATAAGTTGTGAAAATTTCTTAAAATAATTCAAAAAGTTTGCTATTATTAAATTATTCCAATAAAAATAATAAAATTACATCATGTGAATTATAATAATGTGCAAAAAAAATATATTTATTTGGATTAGATAATGAGTGACTTTTGTCTTTAATTTCATCACGCTTACACAAAATTTGTGCTACATTTTAAGGGATAATGAATCATTACATAAGTTTATTATATATATATTCAAATCATGGCACACATGTTAAAACTTTGGAAATTATCAATTGAAAATTTTTTACTTTGACTTTTAAAGCTAATAAAATTATTAATTGTAAACAAAGCACAAGTATCATTATGAAGATTGATTTTTGCTTAATACATAGGTAAACTCGATAAGTCGGACACTCAATAAGTCGGATTTGGCCTAACTCGGACAAAAATTTCCAGCCCTTTTTTTTATATTTAAAAATTTCTTGATAAGTCGGTAAACTCTTGTTAAGCTGTAAGTCGGACAACTCCTCCAGCCAGATAATAATAAATGACTCTTGATAAGTCGGTTCACGTGATTTTCGTAAATCTTGAGAGATAATCTTTACTATTTTTAGTAATGTATTATCCAATAAATTTTTGTAATAATAATTTCATTATTCATGATTTGTAATAAATCTGTTTCGTGAATAATATTATTATCAATTATAATCATTTTAAAAAATTTGTCTTTGCAAATAATGTATTTTATTGTTATATTTATCAATTATGTCATTTATTATCTCATCATTAAATGAATTCACGTTTTGTTGTCTCATCATTAAATGATTAAAAGATTTAAAATGGAAAATTAATAGAAAACAAAATAATTCTTTAGTACAAACCAGTATGAATATTTATTTAGATAAAGAGTAGAGATTTTTTTTGTTTTATCTTCTATCTGTTTTATTAAATTATTTTTTCAATTATTATTAAAAATAAATAAATATGATTTAAACAACGATTTTCTTAATTTTTTTTTTTTTTGTAAATTGCATATTTTGATAAGTCGGATCTCTTGATAAGTCGGACACTATGTCTAGCTATTTGTGTCCGACTTATCGAGTTTACCTATGTACTATTCATTAGCATATTGTCAATTTGTCTGATTTACACTATTAAAAACAATAATTCAATTATTATAATCACCAAAATAGTCAGTGACAATATCATCACCATCACTATCATCACATGTAAACTAATTGTCAATGAAATGAACTGTCAATGAAATGACTGTTGATGAAATGAACTGTTGGCAAAGTAAAGATGACTGGTAATTTCAGGAATTAAAATTATTAAATGATATTAATGTCTAATTAGTATTAGTACGAATAAACTAATCTTATAAATAAAAAGAACATCATTTACGTTGGAGCTCAAGGATTAGGCGTGTTTTGAAGATCAAATAAATGATGCTCAGATTCTTGAAGCATATCTAAGGAAAGAAAAGATCAGAAATTTACAAGATAATTAATAAAAGAACCTAAAAAAGTTGAAGAAAAATGATTTACTACCTAACTTAGATTAATTATCAGTACACAGCTGGGTGCGGAGTTGTAAAAATCAGCCTGAATTTCCAGAGCTTTTTGAGAATATGTCAAAAAGTAATTAAATCTTTCAATTGAAAGCTTTCCTGTATACTGTTTTTCTTACAGATTTCAATGCTATAGTACATATCAGCCGATTTGGTTTTTGGGGCCTTTTTTCAAACCTTATGTCTTATTATGTCTTCACGAGTATTTTTAATGTGTGAACTAGTCAGTAGAATGATAATTAACCCTAAAAAAAATATTTGCTCCGCTAAAAAAAACTATTTTACTATTCAACAACCCGTCAAACCAATGGCCCCACCTCAAAACCAATGGGTTTTTGCTAGTATAAAGTATTCATAACGTTATGATCATACCGTACTGGATTTTGGGGTTCAAACAAAATCAGCGCATATGATTAGAAACCCAAATTGGATATAAAAAATCCAAGTACCCTGAAAACTAGTGTATTGTTTCATATTGTCAGATGCTCATAATTGTTGAAAATGCTGATTTGCTTTCTTATTTAGCTATAAATTTTAAATCAATAAAGAGCCTTTGTATCAAAAATATTTTAAATCTGCTTTGCAATAAAAACACTAATTTGAATTTTTAAATTTTTTTAAACTGCATTTTCAACCAATTTTCTATTTTCTGCTCTTTATCAATACTTTGGATATTTATTTACCTATTTAAAAGAAAAATTTTAATAAAACGGATATGAATTATTTACTTTTATTTCTCTCTTAATTATTTTATACTCCTTTCAAAAGGTAGCTAGAAATGATGCAACAATCGTTATGTGGATTAATAATTAAAAGGTGGGAAACAAGAAACACCAAAAGTACTCCACAATGCTTATTTGCATGGTGAATGTAATATTCTCACTTAATACAAAATAAAACACTTATTACATCTCTAACTGCTGAATGTAATTTTTCATTCCAAAGTTTATCAAATGCAGTTTTTTTTTAGCCTTAAGAGAATTCATTAGTGCTATTCTTCCCAATAATCTTGCAATGAAAGATCATTAACTTTGTTCTGCCAATTATATATGAAATTATTTTTGTTATAGAAAATTATCCCAACTTCAAATAATTTGATATGTTATCATTTTCAAATAAATCCGTACCATTCTCAGATCTTTATTCAAATTATTTGATAAAGTTGCTTTAGAGCATGAAGACATAGCTTTTAATATTACAAAATGAGCCTTAAAAGTTGGTTCACTCCAACTTTAATTTCTACATCATAAAAATCTGAAAAATAATGATACGTCACGTGATGCAAATTTAATGAGATATTGTAAAATAGTAAATTATAAATCACGGGAAACTGATATATAAATCGGAGATGATTCACGAAGTTACACGCAAATAAAATCGGAAAAACTGATCAAGTGATCAATTTATTCGACACAAATAAAATAATTGACTCACGGAAATATTGGAAATATAAATATTCCAACATTCTAAAATGTAACGGATTACAAAGTATAATCGTGTAGTTATCTGCATAAATATCCGCAATTTTACGCAGCATCATGAAAATATCCAATTTTATCGGTGGGTTGGGTGCGTGTTATCCTTATTTAGAAATCGATTTGGCGATTGCGGATATTTTTTGTGGATAACTACATGATAATTATGGAGTGAGGTGAAATTCTGATTGGCTAATTTGGATTTCACACATGTAAATTTGGATTTCACACATGTAAATTTGAATTTCACATATGTGAATTGCGAATTCACATAATTTCATTTTCACGTATATACAACAATAATATTAATATGAAGTGGAAAATTTCAATTAGTGATCTGCGAAAATTTGCGCCAAATTCTATCACGTATCACGAATTAATTTATTTATTAGAGGATTTAAAAAAATTTTTTTTGGGGTTTTTTTTTATATATAATAATAACATTTCAGTTGTGCGACTAAATAATTAAATTTGTGTCGGCGCAATTGAATTTAACTTGGCTTTAAAGTCACCTGTGAACTTATGACATTGCCTAAAAAAACTTACGCATAGTCTAGCAATCAAAGAATAAACCGTAAGTTTGAGATAGGAAGTTCTAACCCATTATACAAAAAAAATAAACCGTAATAGTGATAAAATTTGGATGACTAGATACATTTTAATGTATCTAGTTCCCCAATTTTTGCTATGCAAAAAAAATAAACCGTAATAATGATAGATTATGGCTTCCTCTTTCATAGCTACAGCTTATTTTTTTGATTGCTCGACTGTGAGCAAATTTATGGAGGTATAATAATAATAGTCAATTTTACTATATAAAATATTTCAATGACGATCAATCATTAATTTATTGTTGTATATAAAAAAAAAAAAAAAGAAAAAATGCCACCAATTTCAAAAAGAAAAAAGAGAGCCAAAAATCAAACAAGAAATGCAGAAGGCAAGTTTGTGTCAAAAAAGGTATGCCAAAATTATGGTTCTGAATCTTTGGATACGAGTGAACATGGCGAAGGAGTAAATCATGAAAAAAATGATGAATTAAAAGATTTTGACAGTGAAATCAACACGACAAATGATAATTCTGAATTTTTGGATATGATTGGACATAGTAAAGAAGTAAATCATGAAAATAATGGTGAATTAATAAAAGACTTTGACAGTGAAGTCAACACGAAAAATGATAATTCTGAATCTTTGGATATAGTCGAACATGCTTTTGAATCTCCTGAAAAAGCAAATTACTTTAACGGAGGGCTCAATATTCCGACTGAATCTTGGGATATGATTGAATATGATGAATTAATATGTGGCTTTAAAAGTGGAATCAACATTAATCCTCAATATTTGGATATAATTGAAGATACTTTAGAATATTTTGAAAGAAAAGATGACGTTGACGGACCGCTCGAGAAAATTGATCATCTTGGAAATAGTTATTATGAATGAAGATGAAGAAGAAGTCAAATCTTTCATTATTAACAGATGGCTCAACACGAGATTTCATACTCGCTTATATCTAAAGAGGTTGAAAATAGGTGATATGATCAATCTTTCAAACATCTTCAACCTAACAATAGTATGAACGTTCACGTAATAATAGTGAATTTTCAAACTAGTAATAATATTAATTGTATGAATGTTCAGACTAGTAATAATGTGGATGCTCATAGTTTTGAAAATATCGTTTTATCATCAATAATTAAAATATCTCAGTATAAAGAAGTCAAAAAGATCTACCACCATTAATTATTCTTCTACAATTATTTTATTGTATTGTATTATTTGCCATAATGTATTTTATTAAAGGATTAACCTTTATTTGTAATAATAATAATAATAATAATAATAATAATAATAATAATAACAGTAACAACAAGAATTTGAATAGTGAGTTTCAATCAATAAAAGGTTATTATAACCTTTGATTTATTTCTTTTTATGTCTATTAATGGCACCAACAGGGAATAGATTAAGATCAACAAATTAAATATAATTAAAATATGTTATTATTGGATCTGATTATTTATTATAGGTATCAAAAATAACGTTGGTGTTAATTTAATTTTTGAAGTGTTTTTTGTCATCCAAGTCGTTCAAGTCGTGTAAGTCACCTAATACTAAGTCGTTTAATTTCTTAACCAGTTTTGCATCCATATCTGTTTATAGAAAACAAAATTAACTTTATAAGGAAAAACAATAAATTCTCGAGTAAAATCAAAAATGCTTATCATGTGAGTACATTAAATTGTACTAAAAGGAATAGAACTCAACAACCAGTCAATATTCTTGAAAATCTGTCACACAATAAAAGTTTATACAATTACTATATTACAGAATTATTTTGAAAAGAAACGGACTCCTATCTAAAGTTGTATTGCTTGACAATTATATCCACTACATTCTCCAAAACTATATTACTTTGACCAATTTTATGACGAATGGTGAAGGAAATCAAAATTTAAAATAAAAGGTAAAAAATATATACCATCATCGCCACCAGTCACTATTACAACCAATGATATAATCCTTTATAACTAATACAATCACAATCACCATCATTATCATTATCCCCAATGCTCATTATAACCAACGCAATTACTGTCACTACTTCCAATGCAACTACCACCTTTGATGAAATTGCCACCAGCCAAAAAATGGAGACCTGTATCACCAAACAACTATGATCCAAACAAAAGAATAATCGTCGCAATGTTTAATGTTTGCATGAAAGGAAAATAGGCAAGTGTGTGTAGAATCCTTATAAAGAACTTTGCTATCTGGAACGCCTTGGCCATCTTGTAATTTTGAAGTTTAGAGCCTCCAAAGTTTGCTTGAAGTGTAACATGGTGACATGCAAGAAAAGATTGATGAAAGGCTTAACATCCTCTGCATTTTGCGCTCAAATGCAAAAATTGTGACACGGCCTGGAATAGAGATATCATGAATATTCATTTCATTGCAACTTAAATGAAAACAGGCAGCCAGATATTTTCACACAATCTGCCATTGGCTAACTTAACTCTAGTCAATCACCTTTCTACTTGTTAAAAGAATATAATATTAATGTATACATATAATTAATTTACATATTATTATTGCACGGAGATTTTCTTGATATTTTTTTTAATAAACTAAATTGTCCCCTCTAATGGGATCATATCTACATCTTTTATAGTGTATGCAAATGGATCTTTTCTTACTGGTCTAGATTTGTAAGGTGCTGTGCATATTAATTCAATATACATGTACATAATATAAAATGGTTGGTTAAATAAATTATAATGATAATGATGTTAACTAATTTTTTTAGCTTTTACTTACAACGTGGTTTTCCTCGCGAATTAGGATTAAAATGATCATCTATTTGTCTAATCTATTATTAGTAAGAGAACATTAGCATTAACGTTGTGATTATGGTAATAGAATTTAATTAATAAGTGTACCTTCAGAGTTTCTGGTACAAATTCGATAGGTATAGATGCTAATGTACCATCAAATCTATAATAATAATAAAAATTTATTATTAATTATTGATTTCAAATTTTTTTTTCCAATGATTACCTATTTTTCCTAATATCCAAATATCTAAATTCGCCCTCATCTTTTGCTATTTTTTGAAGGATAACAATATTATCTGCTTCCTGTGATACTTTAGCAGATCCAAATATTGAATTAATATCTAACAAATCCCTGCTATCTTTTCGTGGATGCACCACCAATGTGATATGAACATTTTTCTCGGTTGCAAAGCTACGAAATTTTGATATGGTACGATCATGATATTCCCACCTGTCATTGAATCTACATAAATCTGATGTCATAAATTGTAAATTATCTATGATTATATGTCGAACGTCATAAGCAAACGTTGCATGATTCATTGCTTCAATGACTGTATCAATTTCTGTACTTCCAAAAAATTTTAGAAAATACATCGGAAGCTAGCATTTGTGATAATGAAAATAGACAATGATTAATTTAATATATAAATAGATAAATAAATAAATATAAATATATTTCAGAACCACTTTGCCTGTTGAAATTTTGCAGCCCATTCAGAAAATTCTTCAGGGTGTTGTGATAAATCTTTTTCAGCAAATTGTTGCAACATTTTTTTTGCCAATCTTACATTTGGAATTTCAAAACTTCCCCATAATGTACTAACACCTGATATACAATAATCTAAAGAAAGTTGACTTAAAACGGTGGTTTTCCCTGTGCCAGTCCCACCGCTAAAAATGGTCATTTCACCTGGACGATGTCCTTTAAGTGTTTTGTTTAATGCAGGAAGATCGTTAGACATGACACCACGAACTTGGTCTGGATTAATGATTTCTCTATATACTCCATCTTTAATATGATCAAAATTAATAATTTGTTCATGTGGTAATGGTTTAGAATTAGAAAGTATTTGAATCAGATTTCTTCCCATTATTAATGCTTGACTAGCATTAAGAGGTCCATCTAAACTGCCACAACGTGTATTCACTATTAAACAACGCTCAATCCCCAACTTCTTGACAAACATTTCTGACATGTCTTGACCAATAACATCATCATCCAACCAAACATAAATTTTAGAAAACCTATGTAACAGAGGAAGAATTTGAAGGTGTAATTGGCTATTTTCAGTAGGTAGACAAAAGGCAGGTATTTTTGTTTCCTGGTATGCTGCCATTGCATCAAATTCATTTCCAGCTAAAATGATCGTTTCAGTCTCTAATGATGCCAAGTGATAACCAAAAAGACCTGCCTGAAATGATGGTGGGTCGTATGCCACTAATTCAAAATCCCTATTTATTGAACAGGCTTTAATTCTTGCTATAGATGTTTTTAATTCTGTGCAATATTTTAAGTCATTAAAAGAAGGTGCAATTCTTGGAAATGTTATACATAATTCACCATATCTTAGATCCGAGGGATTCTTCAACCAACTTTGAGGAATGTTTGGAACTGTAGGATTGTTATTGATGTATCTTGCCACACCAACTTCATAATCTCTTAATGTATCATAAGTAATTTTAAATTTGTCTAAAATATTAGCGATAACTTGTGAATGATTCATTAATTCATTTTTATAGTTTACTAAATCGTTGTATTTTTTTGTAAATTCAATACTTAATTCTTCAAATGCATTTTTTATCGAATAAATAATTTTATACAATTCAGTTTTATTTAGCATCTGCAGATAGTCATTCCAAGCACCCTTTACTGAACAAGATGGACAATCAAAAGTCCCATTTTTTATGTTAATCATCATGGAATAATAATGTTCTCTCTTTGGACGACAGACTGGGCATTTAACTTTTAGATAATCATCTTTATCTGTTTTTTTTTGGATACTGATGATGGTGAACAAGAAATTCAATAATTTCTTCGGGTCGTGGAACATAGTATTTTGAGTAGGCATCATTGAAATATGTTGAAGTTTCTCGATTATAATGCTTTTTAAAGATAAAATTACTACTATTTGATTTTTGTTGCTGTTGGTATTGCTCCACTTTATTGAGTAAAAATAATAATAGCAATTTTGGTATTTGTAAATTTGGTTTTGATTTTTGATTTATTAGATGATGTGGTTGTTTTAATGGATTTATTTGTATTGATGAAAAAAATCTTTTCTGATACGTTCCTTTATTTGTTGTAAAAGTTCTAGCTTTTTTAAACATTTTAAATTTAGTTTTAATGTGTAAAGAAAGATGATTTTTAATAAAGTTAAAAAATATTACGCGTCAATCAATCATCAATGAATGAATGATGTCATTATTATTGTATTTTTTGATCTTCACAAATATTACAGTTTTTATTTTAGTTATTGCACATCATAATTTCTAAAAAAAATTCAATTTTCAAATGACAAGTTCACAAGAAGAAACCACATTTCCCATACAAACAAAACAATCTGCAAAAATAATTGATGGAATACATACAGAAGTGTTGATTAGTGGTTTTCGAAATAAGATTTTTGTGGTGATAACACAGTATGGAAAAATTGGTAGTTTGGTAAATAGGATAAAAATTTAATTAATTAATGATAGTAGTTAATTAATTTATATATATTTATATATATATATATATAGATTCATGTAACAGTAGACACGATGTCACCACTTAGAGTGTCATCAACAAATACCATATCAACAAATGAAATTTTTTTACTTGGATCATATTCTTCATTATATCAAATATATGCGTCACAAATTGCCAATACAATAGTACAAGAAAATCCTAATGAAGGAAGATCAATAATTGTTGGAATTGCATTAATGAAAAAGGGTACAGAATCAATGAATGAACAAGAAGGAGAAGAAATAATCGGAGGAAAGTATTTATTAGAACAAGTTGAATTAATGGTTAGAGAATGTAGAGTTTGGTGAATAATTTTTTTTATAATATTTTGAAAGAAAAGATGACGTTGACGGACCGCTCGAGAAAATTGATCATCTTGGAAATAGTTATTATGAATGAAGATGAAGAAGAAGTCAAATCTTTCATTATTAACAGATGGCTCAACACGAGATTTCATACTCGCTTATATCTAAAGAGGTTGAAAATAGGTGATATGATCAATCTTTCAAACATCTTCAACCTAACAATAGTATGAACGTTCACGTAATAATAGTGAATTTTCAAACTAGTAATAATATTAATTGTATGAATGTTCAGACTAGTAATAATGTGGATGCTCATAGTTTTGAAAATATCGTTTTATCATCAATAATTAAAATATCTCAGTATAAAGAAGTCAAAAAGATCTACCACCATTAATTATTCTTCTACAATTATTTTATTGTATTGTATTATTTGTGGAATAATAATGTTCTCTCTTTGGACGACAGACTGGGCATTTAACTTTTAGATAATCATCTTTATCTGTTTTTTTTGGATACTGATGATGGTGAACAAGAAATTCAATAATTTCTTCGGGTCGTGGAACATAGTATTTTGAGTAGGCATCATTGAAATATGTTGAAGTTTCTCGATTATAATGCTTTTTAAAGATAAAATTACTACTATTTGATTTTTGTTGCTGTTGGTATTGCTCCACTTTATTGAGTAAAAATAATAATAGCAATTTTGGTATTTGTAAATTTGGTTTTGATTTTTGATTTATTAGATGATGTGGTTGTTTTAATGGATTTATTTGTATTGATGAAAAAAATCTTTTCTGATACGTTCCTTTATTTGTTGTAAAAGTTCTAGCTTTTTTAAACATTTTAAATTTAGTTTTAATGTGTAAAGAAAGATGATTTTTAATAAAGTTAAAAAATATTACGCGTCAATCAATCATCAATGAATGAATGATGTCATTATTATTGTATTTTTTGATCTTCACAAATATTACAGTTTTTATTTTAGTTATTGCACATCATAATTTCTAAAAAAAATTCAATTTTCAAATGACAAGTTCACAAGAAGAAACCACATTTCCCATACAAACAAAACAATCTGCAAAAATAATTGATGGAATACATACAGAAGTGTTGATTAGTGGTTTTCGAAATAAGATTTTTGTGGTGATAACACAGTATGGAAAAATTGGTAGTTTGGTAAATAGGATAAAAATTTAATTAATTAATGATAGTAGTTAATTAATTTATATATATTTATATATATATATATATAGATTCATGTAACAGTAGACACGATGTCACCACTTAGAGTGTCATCAACAAATACCATATCAACAAATGAAATTTTTTTACTTGGATCATATTCTTCATTATATCAAATATATGCGTCACAAATTGCCAATACAATAGTACAAGAAAATCCTAATGAAGGAAGATCAATAATTGTTGGAATTGCATTAATGAAAAAGGGTACAGAATCAATGAATGAACAAGAAGGAGAAGAAATAATCGGAGGAAAGTATTTATTAGAACAAGTTGAATTAATGGTTAGAGAATGTAGAGTTTGGTGAATAATTTTTTTTATAATATTGAAAAATTACTAGTATTACTGATATCACTACCGTCAATATAAATAAAATATCAATTATTATTTTTAATATCATTGACATAATAATTAAAGTTGTTGTTATTAAATTATTTCAAGGTCATCATCATCACCATCATCATGAATGTTATCATCATTTAAATTCCAAAAATTTTCATCAATTGTTTCATTGCCTTGAACATGAAACCATTGACAACACAAATCATTGAATGCATTGTATGGAATGTCTTGATTGTTTGAAAAATCTGGAAAAGAAAAGCTTTTAACAGTTGTTAATGCGTAATTTTACTGGTCAAGGAATATTAACAACTATGATAATAATAACAATGATATTATTGAGAGATTTTAATTATATTTTTTGTTTTTTTAAAAAAAAAGGATATTAAATTTACAAATGGTGCTTTTTTTTTTAACAAAGAACTTGCCATACTTAATTGGAAGGAATTTACTTATCAATTATTTTGTTGAATAAAAGATAATTGAATTAATGAATTCTGAATTTATTATCATTATACCTTTCATTGTAATAATCTAGTTTATTTCCAATAATCATAATTTTTTCCAGCTTAGATTTATTCCAATTGGCTGAAATAACATTATTATATAGACCAATTGGGCAATGTGGCATATAGAAAAGTGTATTATTTGAGATAGAATGTTTTGCTTTCTAATCATAATAATATTGATAAGTAATTTTACAAAAGTGTAATATTATATGTTGATAAATATTAATAGATAAACTTGCCTCATTGATTTCTATTGATTCAACATTATAATATGATATAATTTTTAAATCTAAATCAGATTGAATTGGGTCATAATAAGATATTTTCCCAATTATCTTGAAAATTTGAAAATAATAATAAATATTTTTTATTTGTGTCCAAAATGAAAATATATCTATTTTTTTTTACCTGAAATAAATCTTTTAAAAGTAATAACAAAGCAAATTGATATTGTGATACTATTGATTTTTCTATACATCCAACTCCATAACTGATTATATTGATGAATCCTGGGTGGTTTGGATGTAAAAGGTTTCTTTTAATATTCTCTAATAAGTTAATATTAGCATTAACAATAATAAGGCTATAAATATTATTATACATTAAATCCAAAATATATAAATTTGTTTTCCTTTTTTCTTTTACCTTTTAATTCATTAAAAGGATTACTTTCTAACAAAATCATTCTAAAAAATCAATCAAACCAAATCAAGTCTTGTAAAAAAAAATTTTTCTCATATTTAATATAAAATAATAAAATAATACTTTTTATTTTCTATAAAACTTATTAATTTTTCAAAAGAATTTTGTTTAACAATAAATTTTTTATGTTTGTTGTTATTATAACTTTTATATTTAAATTTATTTTCTTCCATTTTCAATGCAAATTTTTCTTTGTAAAATGATAACCTATTACTACGTAAGATTTTTTTTTGTAGGTAACAACATATTTAGATGTACCTTATCATTGGTTGATTATGCTCATATGGTTTCTTAAATGTTATTTAATCAAAAAAAAAGTATAAATATACATATATAAAGATTTCATTTTAGATCAATGATTAGATAGAACTGGAAAAGGATAAATCCATCTAACCCTTCAAACCATTTCCCATAATCTTCAATTATTTTTTTTAATTTGATTTAATACCTTGTGGTATAGAAATGATGATCTTTTGATACTTCTTCCAGTAAAACAGGCTTTACCCATAATGATAGAATATTTGCTATTGATGAATGTTCTATACAATTTTATCATTATCATTATTGAGTATTTACATTATAATTTGGCAAGCCCATAATAAAAATAATGCTTGCTTAAAATATTAATTTAAAATAGTAATATTAACACCAGTACTCATGGTAATAGTTGGCAGCAGTGGTAATAATGTTCTGTTAAATAATTTTGATTGATGGTCAACCCAAGAATTACAGTTACCATTAGAAGTATTTTGAAAAAGGAACAAGGTGAGAAAATTGCTCCTTACATTTTTAAATTAGCAGATACCAAATC